AATTAATTCCGAGAAATTAATGTGTATATGCACCCAATCTCATCTTTCGTATCCGAAAAATAGCATCCAAATTACCAAATCGAAAACTTCCTCCCCGTCTCTCTCTACAGGAAATTGTCTTAAATGTCACATTATTAAATTTTAAACGGGTCTAAATAATTTGTGAAGCCAGTTTTAATTCTTTACATTCGATAAATTTAATTTGATTTTCCTCTCTCTCTCTCTCTCTCTATATATATATATATATTTTTTTTTTTTTTTAATTCTTCTCCCTCACTCGATTCATAAATTATGTATCATTAAATCTATCGCAAATAACAAACAATAATTTAAATAATTATCTCGCGAGATAAATTTTTTGTTTTCCTAATAAAATATTATCGAAAACGTGATTATAACAACAATTAATTAGATTATACTTAATTATAAATGCGTATAAATTTTATTATTATATTTTCCTACGCTAATTTTATAATTATAATTTAATTTACTCGCGGTTTTCCATTGATATTTTCTCGTTTAAGTCCAATATAATTGTATAAAATAAGATAGAATTTATTTTTATATTTATTATTATTATTTTCGGAGCGCGGAAAATCATCAAAGAGAAATTGTAAATCTGAATTTCTGGAAAAAAAATAATAAAAAATAAAATTCCGAATTTCACTTCCACAGAATTGCAATGTATTTATTTGGTTTTTTTGAATTATAAAATTACGATTTCTTATTTTATGAATATTTTATCGAATATTCTGTATCAGCTCCCAACTTATTTATTTATACGATTTTATTGTAAATATATTAATAATTTTTAGGGGTGGAAGTGTACATATATATATATATATATATATTTTCTCTTCTCAAACTCGGAATGATTTTTATTAATTTCGAATGTTTATTTTCGAAGAGGATGAAGTTTTCTTTTTTTAAATAAAAAAAAAAGGAGCCGATCTTTTGCCACACGAGAAATTACAAACTTCATAAAATATTTTCTCGAATCTATCTGATAAGATCCTAAAAATAATTTCTTGGGAATTAAAAATTGATGTGGGGCCTGGGCCTCATCCTTCAATCATCCCGAGCACGTAATTAGGAATCTCCAAGATCGACTTTTCCTCGGAGACTACAGATTTTTTTTTTTTCCTCTCCCCTTCCCCTCTCCTCTTTAAACTCGAAATCGACTGATAGAATTCGGGTAAAATAAATATTTAAGAGCTTATTGCGTGTCTTTGGGATGAATATGAATTTTAAATAAAGCTTAAATTGATTTTAAAGTTTAGCAGTTATCGCCGCGAATGCCTTTTCCTCCGTATAAAAATTGAAGTCGATTTTTTCGCTTTTCAATTCTTTCGATATTGCCGTATGCATTCATTTCTATCGAATTATTTCGACGACCCTCCCTCCCCCTTTCATTTCTTATTCTAATCGAACCTAATGCTATTTATTCTAATGGTGGGTGGAGGTAATAAACAATTAATTGTTAACGTTTCGAGTTAAATGCGTGCCGAGTTAAGTATATTAGAAGAAGAAAAATAATTTTTTTTTGTGAGAGGGGGAGAGAAAAATCGCATGTGAACGAAGATAAAAAAGAAATTTGGTGGTCATTCTTACGCCACTGTTTCGCTTCATTTTACGAATCGTGTCATTGAAGCGCTTGTGTTGGAGCCAGTTGTCTTGCTTTATTGGAACCATGTTTGGTCGTTAAATCTCATTCTTATAGTTTTGGATCAGCTCGTCCCTTTTAAGAATTTGGAAGTTACTTTACTTCGTTCCTTCCTAGTCTAATAATAAGAGTAATTAGATAATATATAGGCCTATATATATTTTTCTTGAATGGAAAGTATCCTGCACATGAAAATGTTTCCCTTTAAAATTGCTGTTTTAGTTTTTAAAATCTTTATCGAGATATTTGGTAGTTGACGGATTTTTCATTACTTCTTATCGTTATTCATTTGATAAATTTTATATTTCAAAATGCATTCGTTTCGTAGTAATAGACGATAGTATAACATGTATTATTGTTATCACGAATCATCAATTTAGTTGAGCGAATGAGAGTGCCGTCGATGCAAGAATTCTTCCTTATTTTTTTTATTTTTTCTTCCAAGATTTGTTATGATACGATTCAGCTATTTGCTATTATATATCTTTATGAGGTTTTTTTTTTCCCTTTTCTTTGGAGATTTCTTTGAGTATTCACCCGTAACGAATCAATGGTGCTCTAGCTCTTAGCACACGACAACAACCCATACACAGTTAGATTTTTAATAGCTATTTTTACTCTCGTCCGTGAGGGGATGGGGAAATGGCTATTAAAAATATAACTACAAGAATCTCTGATCGTATGACGACGACTGCTGCTGCTATTCTAATGAGAGCAGGGGAAGGGGAGAAAAATATTTTTGTCTGTTGACTCAAATACAGTCGATTGCGATTGAGTAAAATAGTGAGGAATGATGAAATATTTCTATCCTTCACCTTTACTAATTTCTGTCTGTCTAACCTTGCATACTGTGTCGAAGGGGGCTCAGACTCTCTTTAATAACGCCTATCTCGACACTTAGAAAGGACAGGGAGAAGGGTGAAAGAAGAAGAAGAAGAAGAAGAAGGGAAAAAAGCAAGTCCCGTTTTCATCTGATTTATGACTATCTCGCCGGGACTAACCCATTGTGACACTGTGAATTTGTGCATTCGGAATTCTTCCTTCCCTCCATTCCTTTTATGTATTAATGTCGCTTTGAGGATGACGACATTGCTCTGGGACCCGGATGGCATTAAGGGGGTGCGACCCCCACCTACCGTCCCGGTCGGGGTCTTGGGTTTTGGGGAAGTGAAAAGACACTAGCGCTATCTGCATGGCGAATATTTGATGGAAACTCCCGGTATTTTGTCTTGTTCAGTGGAAGGTCTAAGGGATGCCGCCATTAAGGACGACGGGGTGCCACATTATAGTGATGCATCACCGACATGTAAGACAGTAATGTTCTCTATCTGCCTCCCCCTGTTAGTCCTTCGAAAAGGGGCGAAGGGGTCGGCGCATCATTAACTTCCCCCTTTCTTGCCGAGACTGAGTATAGAGAGCTGAAATAGAAACAGATCTGCTAGGGTTTTTATCTTTCCGATTTCTTAGAAGAAAAAAATTCAATTGGTCGGAGTGTTTATGTTGTTTTCTACTTAAGATAAACGATTTAACTCTATATTATTGTTGTTAGGAAGTTTCCACAAACATGGCGACGTCTCTTTTTGTTTTTGGCGGATTTTTGGATCACGTTTTATTTAAGTAATCCGTCCTTTTTCCTCACCGGAAGTACAGAATTTCTCCAATAAAGACAAACAGTAATTGAGGGTCGGACGGACAGAAAGGTTAGTTGTTAGCCGACAGCGTTCCGTACCGTTACACTTTATGGCAGTCGGTAGCTTCTAGCTACTAAGAGACCCTAATTAAAACTTTTTAACGGTCGTCTCCTTCCGCTTTTAATCGTTCGAACGTAAATCTCGTGTTTTCACTTTCTCCCCCCCGGTCACGGCTCTTATCCTTGTATCAGCTTCCCTCTAAAAGTTCAGGTCACGCGGGGAAAATTAAAACGTCAAGATACTGTATACAAAATGGATCCTTCACCTTCCTCTTCCGAATCTTTCTTTATCGTTATCAATTTTATCGTTAGTTCCGCTTTCCCTGTTGTCTTCTTCTTCTTCTTCTCCTCGGTAAACAATTTCAAATATTCATATGAAATTTGTATAGATAGCGAGAATCCTGTCAGTTAATTTGATGATCCGCTGGAAGGAAAGTTCTAGGTATTATTCGTTGCTGACTTCTTGCTTGTTTCTCTACTCTCTACTAATAAACAGATGTCTGTGACGGTGTCATGTTTCGTACTCTACTCTACTCGCTCGCTGTCTCTTACCTGTAAAGTGGCCGCTAAAATCCTATTGTCTGCAAATTTCCGCAGGGTATAAAAAACTCCTCCACTTTGTTGCATTGGAAACTTGATATGAATTCTTCTTCTTTCGATTGTCTTCTACCAACTATCTTCCAATATTCTATTGTTATTTCTTACTTTCTTTTTCCATTAAACTCTACATCTTTTACTAAAAATACACCTATAATTATTACTCCTTTATTATATTATTGTAAGAAACTCCAGAAAAATCTTATATCATACACGTTATATTTCTTTTCTTTTATATTTTAGTGTATTATAAACTACTTTAGCCTGGGTTTGTGCGTAATATTTTATTCACGGAGAACAAATTTTCATTCCTCTTTTTTTTTTTTTTTATTTTTAAAGGATCCAAAACTTTATCTTACAACTTTTGAGCCATTTGGATTTACGCCAGTTTAGAACCCCGAAAACATGTTGTAAGTGGGTTCAATCCAAATAAAAATCTGAGTCGAATTACGCTGTAATTTCATTAAAATATTCATCTTTGACCCGCTGTGAAGGTCTTATTTACTTTTTATTAAATCTGAATAAATAATCAGATTGATTTAAAACGTACAAAATGTATATTTTTATATTCGAACTCCATTTTTTTCTCCTTTTCTTTTCATTAATTAACGCTTTTAAAATTCAAATAGATTACAGCGTACAGTTTCTTTGTTTTTTTTAAATGTTTTTTTCTCTTTTTCGGGAGTATTTTTTTTCGTGTTTTCTTCCTGTTATGTATTTTCTTTCGCATTTCTTAACATTATAGAGCGTAAATGATTAGAGATTAATTCTGTAATGAAGGAATAAATGCTGTTTTACACTAAATTCCGTCGCTGCTTGCGCATTTAATTAAAACGAAAACAGAATTATTTTCTTTTATGACGTGGAACGAATGAATGTTTCGTTTTTTTTTCCTCCCTCCCTCTCTCAGCGATATTTTATTTATTTATTTTTCTTTATTTTCCATTATCCGTTTTCTCCTCTTGACTCCCGATTTCACTTTTTCTCGCTAGTGCCGCCATCTGTTGTATCGTTCCTCACCTTTTTCGTATTTTTTTTTCTTTCCCGCAGGAAATGAAGGTGAACTGGGCCACGTCTCCTAGCAACACACCTAAACAAGACACAAGTAGTAAGTATGTTTTATATTCCAAGACTCATCCTAATGTTATTATAAATTCAAAAGAATTTATTGCTGTAGTTTTTCGTGATTTCTCTCCACCTCCCTCCGTTTCGCGTTTTAACAATAAGAACAAATGAGATAAAAATGAAGAGAAGTAGCGTATTTTCGCGGATTTACGACTAACTAACAATCGAGGTATTAATTGGCGCGTGGAGGGGGAAAAAAAACCTTCCAAACCGGGATAAACAACTTTACCTTTTTACGTATCTACCCGCATGGATATGAAGTGATGTACTGTACTGTACAATCCACCCCACGGGCTACAGCCTCTTTCCACGTTCCCGCCTACTACATCTGCAACACATCAAAGTCTCGCCGCTCATTTCGTATGCATCTAGACCGTTGTAGTTCCCTTCTAGCTGCTCCTCTTCGTCACTAGTTAACGCCAGATCAGATAGAAAAGGTTAAGAGCGAAAAGAATGGAAACTTGAGTAACTCTTAGGTTTTGCATTCTCTCCTAACTCTTAACTCCTTCCCCGGAGGCTCCGTGGATGCTGCACGCGTTTTTAAAAACGGGATGGATGCAACCGACTTTATACTAGCTCGCGCTAATATTTACCGTCACAACCAATAACGTTGGGTGATTTCTTTCTCTGCACTTTCCTGGAAAATTATCGTTTCTTCTAAGCTCTTCCTCTTCTTTTTTTTCCTCCCTTTCTTCTTCCTCTTTCTCTCTTTCTCTCTCTCATTCTCTCCCCTCTCCCGGTGTTCTAAAGAATGTTTCTCATTTTGAAGTTGAAAACTAAACGTTGTGTGTATACTTCATATCTGACATCAGGTGAAGAATATAAAAAAAAAAAGAAAACAAGGAAAAAAACCGATATGATTGATGGATAGTTGGAAAGAAGACATTCATTCATTCGGGTTTGTAATCGTGTTTTTTCCATTATCGTCTGTCAACAGTTGACCGATTGGAAACGATGCAAGTTATATACTAAAAATATAAATCTCTACTCCACCTGTTAGTTCTTATTTGATGTTAAGATCAAAGCTGACGTTGGGAATTTGCAATGTGCTAGTGGCAAAAATAATTTGGAAGCAATTTTGGATTAGAAAAAAACGGAAGGAAAAGAGGATGTTTCCTACGAGCAAAGTTCGGAAATCTAGTGAAAATTTCGTCTACTAATTTTGAAAAATTTATAATATAAATATTTGAAGCGACGTAGATAAGAAGATGGGATAAATAATTAATAATAAAAGGCTTGGAACGATTCTACAAGTTGGGAAGTTGCCATTTTGATCATCATTGTTACCTACGTGACGTTGACGAGTTGAATTTATGGGAACGTGACGCCGGTTATTTATGTGAATGGTAACGGGGGAGTGGAGTGGGAACAGTTACACGCCCAGACAATCATTGTTACTATTCCAGTATTGACATAACAGATGGCCGAACATTTTCCGGTTACCGGACGAGTTTTATTTAATCATCGGCGTTACGGCTTGAAAGCTGCAAACACTAAAACGGTTTACGAGAAGGAACGTGGCACACCTCTAACTACTTTTCTACGAAAATGCTAGCCGGTCGCGAGTCCCAGCCGGACCACTCTAAACGTCTCAACTCACTCGTACATGTAAATGTCTGCTCCCGCTTCGAGCACGTATATTCCACGCGCCATCTTATCTATCCTGTCTCTGTAGATACTACGAAAAGCCACTCGTTTTATGGAAGTGGCAAAGTTTAAATTAACGACGGCCTGCTCCTTTGTTTTACCGTCTAAGTTGTCGCTGGCGTATACTTAGCTGGTAATGAAGTCAGAGAGTGCGTGGGCCATAATGTTCTCCTTACCCCGTTTCGTTGTAATATTGTTGAGTTTTAGCTATCGTTACATTCTGTCTACTGTGTATAACTCCTAACCTTTATTGCTTTTATTGCATCGTTTGCTATATGCTTGTGTGTGTGTTTTCGTTCCGAAACGAAGAAAACGACGAATATTCCTCCATTACAACTCGTTCACATGACTTAACTTTTTAAAACTTACTAATCTAAAACTTGAAAATAAATGGAGATTTATGTAAGTAAAATGGAATTAAATAAGTTATCCTTCATAACTATCTGTTAATTTCGGAATTTATGGATGCAAAAATGCTTTTAAGCTACTACTAAAATGTGCGGGTTATACGCGGAATGGAAATTAAAATGAAGAAAACGGGCGAATTTTACTCAGAAAATGAAAGTAATTCTGGTATATTTTAACCGAAGAGATTTGCAAATAAATGAATCTCAGATTTTCCACCAATATACAATAGATGCTTGTAAATTTATTATGTAATGATCCCTTGAATCCGAGCGTTTTAAGCAATCGTCGCTTCATTTAGTCTCTTAATATAATAGGCTTTTGAGTCAATAAAGAATTTAATCTTTTATGTATTCAGATACAACCGACTTGAACTCTATTGATCTCTCCTTGCTTCAATCGAATAGAGAAGATATAAATTTTAAACAATATGGACAATGTTCTAATGGAGAATTGTATTTAAAAAAAGAAAAATAACGCAAGGAAGAGAAAATCGGATAATTGTGTAGAGGATATTATAAACGAATGTAAATAATATAAATGGATTTATATGAACATTAATGAAGTGTGTAAAGTCATCTCGATATTAATAGATTTTCCTAGCGATGACAAGGCGTTTATAATTCTCTATAATTGAGCCATAAAAGTGCATAAACGTGAGAAATAGTTAGACATAAATCTGATTAAAGGAATATATAATTACTAAATTGTATATCCAGAATAATAATTATAGTCATCTTCATATCCTTCTCTGTTACATTGGCAATAAACGGGTGGAAGTTTCATCATTTGGCAATTGAAAAGTTGTATTAAAGAGTTTTTCGCGATCAGAAATGCGTGTTAATCATCAGCTTGGATATGGCGGAAACTTTGCGCTTAAATTTTCCTATTTATGACGTAATTGAAAACTTTTGGCGAAATGGATATGAAATCACAGCGAATAAACTGTTCCTTTCAAAGCAAATCATGTGAATTCGTTCCAGATTTCACCTCTACTTAATTGTTTAGAGTTGTTGACAGATGTCTCCTATATTACGCTAGGCTGAGCAAACTTGTCTGCAGTTCAGAAGTTGGAAAGAAATATATTTTTTCGACTTTTTCCCACTTCTGACTTATTATCTCAGAGAGTGAGAAAAACAAGCATCGCGTTTCTGGTGAATATCACCATCTTTTCCTTTCCAATGATGACATCAACCGTTTTTCCGGTAAACGTGAGTTAATTAGGTGAGAGTTTGTTGACACATCGCCTGGTCGCGTCACCTCTGTCGTTTCTCTCTCAGAATTAATTTTCTCTTGGCGTGACTGCGATCGTCCAGGGAAACTCCGACGTTCTCAAGCACGGAAATGCTCATTCGTTCTCCATAAAATTCGTGACCGTTTCTCACACGACTGTCAGCCTTTGCACCGTGATTCCGAGCCATTTGATATAAGATTAGAAGCATGATTTGAATCTCTGGTACATCCTACCTCGGTTTTAAAACCACCTCCTCGTCTCTAAATAAAACTGTTGCTCCCTCTCCTCAAATCTAATTACAATCCAAAGCTATCTTGGCAAATTCAATTTGCTTCGTACGCATTTCTTTAATACGAATCTCCCTATATCGTCTATGATAAAAGTCTTAAAGTCTTTTAATGCATATTCTCCATTTAAAAGAACGGATAATTTAATATCTTCTCTAACGTTTCAATCTTGAAATTATCGCCTAGAAAAGTCAAGTCGCTCGTAAATTGACTAAGGAAAAAAAAATTCAAAATCTTAAAATAATTAGTGCTTTAATAATAAGCAATTCTTCTTAGCGCACAGAAAATGAATATTTGTTAGCGCGTTTGTATGTCTGAGCGAAATTTATCTGTACAGACTCTCGGAATAGTGTCATTCGTATGTTATCTATTCTGAGGAGATGATTTCGATATTTCCGAGAAGCCTCTTCTGTATACCGAGAGAGATATATAACCTATTTGTTTTCCTATCGTCTCCCTTCCCACGGCTATCGGTGTTTTCTTTTCAACAGTCTTTTAAACTTTGAAGCATCAGCAGCCACACTTTGCAGTTGCGACAGCGTTATCAAATATAAACGTGTTTTTCTTTTGTCCAAAAGGAGAGGGGTTTTACCTACACTAGACGTGTCATTTCCTTTTCCTGTGATAGATACATCTTTAAAATACATTGTATTTCGTCCTCGTTATTTTTTTTTCTTAAAAAAATTAGAATCAATTTCTTCTAATAATAATAATTTATTTTCTCTCACCTTTTTCTAGTATTTTTGTTTTTTTTTTCCTACCCCCTCCTCTGTCCGTTCTGTTTACACGTTTGCTTTATTTAGTGTTTCAAAGCCATAATTCTATGACTTGTTTGGTGTTTTCTTGTCTGTTACTGACTGATGGTCGGAGCCCTCCAATTCTTCTTGTTATTTTGAAACTTCTCTAGTAAATGGGATGGATACTGTCAAGTTACAAAGCCAAGCGGTCAACCACACGTCACGTCTCCGTAGACATCGTCAGTTAAGCAATCAATGTAAAGCATCCTCACTCACTCGGAATTTGGTATTCGAGATGGGACGTGATCCCGCACTCGCTGACCGGCTTAGTTTTGAGTTTCCACACCGAATATCACGCTATACATTAGTCTCGAGCCGAGAGAATGGAAATAGTTGCTGCCTCTTCGATAAGACTCGATGAGAGGTTGAATTCGTTTCTATGTGTCAATACACCCGTGTAAATGACAATTCCGTAAGCTTCAATTGCCAGTTAACACGTGATATAAGCGATAGATAAATTTTATATTATGTTTCTATTAATTTTAAACGAATTCCAAGCAGGTTAGACGTTTTGCATAAGTGTTATATAAATATATATGTAAGTAACTCGTGTTGATTTTTCTGTTGGAGACGATCTTATTCGCTGGTCTATTCATTCCAAGTACAAGAGGTGGCTATTGGCAGAATCACATCACTTAAACTGAAAGTGGTAGTTTTCCATTATTCAGTAGTTCGTTATCGATTGATTTGTCATTATCTCCATCTGCTGTTGAATTTTTTCTGCCTTCTTTTCCTTTCTTATTCTTCTTTTTTTTCCCCTTTCTTTCTCCTTCCCTTTCACCTGTCTTTTTATTCGCCAAGGTTTCATATTTTAAAATATGAGTAGATCTGTTTAAAGTTATTTTCCTCTCAGGAGCTTTAATGTAATCCAGTATAAGCTTATTAAAACGTTCGATTTCTTACTAAGAAAAGATGATTTATATATTAAAAAAAAGAAGAAGAAATAATAATAATAATAATAATAGGGGAAAAAATCTTATAATGATGCTTTTACTTCGAATGATTTCATTCTTACAAGTTGGCATGATATTGTATTAAAATATTATTTGCTTACATTTTTGGAGGATTTTGTTGACTTTCTAAATAAAGAAAAAGAAAAAATGTAATGAGAATTTCAAAAGTACTCAGTCAAGATGATTGAAAAATTAAAAATTTATTTGGGAAAAATTTCATATAGTCTCTTCTCTTATACGACCAGTTTTAGCATTCGATTAAATTTTTATTTACACAAAGTATAGTAAATTCTGCCATTTAATTTAGTTTTTTTCCTCTTATATTTTTTTATTTTCCGCTCAGTCAGAGTTGTTTATAGAACACGTATACACCTCTACTTCTTACATGTCTATATACCAAATGACTTCCGATTTAATTTGAAGATTAATAATTAAAAAAAAACAAAAATCAGTAACGAATACGAATCGATATCTTATAAAATGATACTGATAATACGAAATTCCTTAATGCAATCGATAGTTTTAGTGGTTGTAAAGATGGTAAATATCGTCCCCATTAAACGTAGTCGAATATCTCGATTTAAGTGCTTTAATTTCTTTTGTATCGATCGAATACTTGGAAAATATATAGACTATATATATATATATATATATAAAGGTGAATCCGGAATTCTTTGAAAATAGTACTATTAAAGATATTTTAGTCATAAGAAGTTAGGAATGTGAACAAGTTATTAAGAGTATTTGTATTGTACAAGTTAGAAACGACCCTGTTGTATGTAAAGTTAATTAAACAAATGGGTAAAACTCTTATAATATATATAAAATAGAGACGTGCGAGATTTTAAAATGATGCTTCAAATACAACATAAAGATTATATTAGTAAACTATTATATCTATCTTTGGCAGAGTGTTTATAATCCTATCTCTTGGATGAAATTTAGCAATTGTCTCCTTTGTCTACCCCCCTCAGTTGCGATAAACGAGCACCATAAACGTTTCTTATAGAGTTTCTATTAATCAACACATCGTTTAGTGCCATTGTTTAGTTGTTGAAGCTCTCTTTTTCCCTTTCTTTTTTTCTTTTATCCGAACAGAACACTACCACATATTCGTGGGTGACTTGAGTCCAGAAATTGAGACGCAACAACTACGTGAAGCATTTGCACCCTTCGGCGAAATTTCGTAAGTATCCAATATTTTAAAAAATTTTTAAATAATTTATTTACTTTTTTTTAATTCTTACATAAGATTATTTTATTCANTTATAAAATCACAAACTGTCATAATAAAAACATTTATAAATAAGAATAAGCATCCTTTTTAAGTTTTAATTGATATTATTTTTAAGTGTTAATTAAGTTATCTCGAGAAATTCTAGACCTTTATATATATATATAATCTACGAGAGGAAACTTTGTAAATTGTATTAAATTCGGCTCTATAAAGTTCTAGTAATTGAAAGTTCCTCCGTTGAATGAGCCAACTTTTAAATGAAGAATCGATTTATTTACTATGAATAAAATCGATAAGTTATCGTAATCTATAAAGGAAATATAAGTGAAAGGACACGGAAGCAATTTCGGGTCAATGGGGTGTCTCATAGTTTGGGTGGGGCAAGTAGCAATGGTTATCGATCAATTCCTGAGGTCACCTCGTAGAGTTTTCTCCGGGCGTGGTCAGCTTCCCTGCAAGACAGAGGAACACTGTTGGGGAAGCAGAATACAGTGAGTCTCTACGTGATTAACATAGAGCGGAATTCTAGCATTAAATTCTTTCCTGTACTACCCACTGTTATCACAAATTTTCTCATAATTATGTCATTCAATTATCTACATAATTTTCCTCCGGTAATATCGTAATAAATTTTAATCAGAAGCGACGGAATTAATCTAATTCCAAGAAATTATATTAATGAAACAATCTGTATTGAGAATATTTTTAGAATCATTCCTAAAAATAAGAAATAAAATCGATTGAAAAATTTAAATTCCTTGATTTATAGGAATACAAATTTCGTTTCAATTTTATTCAATTATTTTTCTTTTCTTTACGAAGAAAAATAAACCAATAAAAAAAAGAAAATAACGCTAAATAGAAGTAAGATCAAGTGCGATTTTAAGCCTGCAATTTGAACTAGAATATAAATTTAAATCCGGTTGTAAAGATCTTTGCAAATAGAATAACCACTCTGAGAGATGATCGGAAAGTAAACTGAGAAAAAATTCTTAGCTGGAAGGAAATCGAATATAGTGAAAATATCCAAATATCTACTAACTTCTAAAGAAATTCTTGAAGAAATGCCAGTTTTTTCCGTGTTGATTTTGAATATGAAACGAATAAAAGTATCATCTGACTAATAATAACATGGATTTTTTTTCCCATNCGTAGAGTTTTCTCCGGGCGTGGTCAGCTTCCCTGCAAGACAGAGGAACACTGTTGGGGAAGCAGAATACAGTGAGTCTCTACGTGATTAACATAGAGCGGAATTCTAGCATTAAATTCTTTCCTGTACTACCCACTGTTATATATAAATATATTTAAAAGTTATAAATTGATATAGGAACTTATCATTTTCGATTAGATTCATTTATATTTCGTCAATGTTATTCACTTCTTTCGTTGTCAAAATGTTATTTCATTGACAATTAAGGACCAGTTTAATTAAATAAATTCTAAAGGAATAATTTTGAATTATTTTTTATATGTTTAAAATAATTAATTTATAAAATATAAACCGAAAACAATTTATTTATACATTAAAAATGAAATTAGTCAGTGAAAATATTAAAAATATTTCTACTTTTGAGATGTTTTTCTATAATTTATTTCAATTAAAAACATATAATAATATAAATTGTCAGTGAAAATTGAAATTTTTAGTCAGAATGTATGAATTGATGTTTAAAATTATTTATGTTACTATAAACATTCTTTAATAAATAATGCTTAAACAAATCATAACACTTAGTTATTACATAGTCATGATCATTGCTATGTTCATTTGAATAGGAAAAATGTTTGGCTTAGATTTAACAGTAAGCTTTCTTTCTTGTCATCATCATTGTGAGTGTCACGTGTGCCCCAAGAGTAGCAATCTACTTGAGTGATAGTGTCGCTACAGATCATTCATTAGCTCATGTATTGTTAGTTGACTGACTAGCTCTTAATAACTTCCACCCCCCAGAGTTGGAAAGTGCAGGGAGGAAACCTGCCTTCCTTGATTAATGTTATATCATAGGTATAGATTAACTAGATGCGATCAATGAATAGGTCTACCTGAACCACTCCCCATGACAAATGAGAACATTTGCCAGGAACTGGTAACACTGCCCAACATTACAGTTGTGTTATCTTCATTATTTTGCTAGTCTGTAGACCTGTTATATATTAGCAAATCAGATTAGTAAAGTTCATTATAACACTAATATTAATTTTTTATATTAATTTTTTTCTTTTTTTTTTCCTTCCTTCTTCATTCAGTTACATATAAATGTCTTCCAAATTTGATAAATGTTTTCCATATTTAGTAAATTTTCAGAATAATGTATGTCCTGGAATGATATTTCTGTTAAAATATGATAAGAATCAAAGAATAATGTAACCTCTTAATACATATCGACTACCTAAATGATCTTTATTAATACTTCATCAACATTTCACTACTAATCTTCTAAGTAAATATGTAACTAAATATTTATATTATTGGAAAGCACTTTACTTACAAATGGAGATGATTTCCTAGATATGGAATATCGATGACAATATCCAAACCACTACTTGTTGACATTGGACTAACCGCATTATTCTAGTACATCGGCGGGCAACCGCTTTAACAAAACTCGTTGCNAAGAGAAGATTTTTTTAAGGTTTCAAGTTATCTAAATTAATATTCGGAAAGAGGATTATATTTTTCTTGGAAGAAGTTTTTGAATTTAAATGTTGACAGTGAAATCCCTTTGGTCAAGGAAATTTATTCGCTGTCATCTGGCATGACTCTAGCGTGGTTCCCCAACGTGTTGTTGAGCAAGAAGCATAGTAGCAGTTTTTGTGGTTTCATTGCGTGTCTCTTGGGCATTCACTATAGAGAAGCACGATTCAGCGGGAAAAACTGCAGTCCTCTTTATATACTAGCTGTTGGTTAGTGAACTTCCCTCCAAAACCCCCCATCTGCGATAAGAGAATTGTTCGGAACAATCCCGGTCTTCGTTCATTACGATAGATCGCATCGTAAAGATCGTTTTTAACGCTACCTTTTAGACGAAAATGTTTCGTCAGTTTGGTCCGGTGTCGTTATCTATGTGTCGTCATCGGCGCACGTTCCATTTGCAGAATATTTCGTCCGGGTCAAGCGGGGTGGTGGAAACTATAGCTCCAATCGTACGTTACTTGGGAGAAGAATTGGGAGAACGGTGGAAGAGGGGGAAAGAATAAAAAAAAACCCGGATGAAATGAAGTATTGTCAACTAGTAAGCCAAACAGCAGTTGGAAGTTGTCGACCCCGATGCTCCGTACAGCGTTATCGACGGAGACCAGCTTCCCTAGATCACGGTCCGTCTGACCCACAGTCCGTCCCACGTATACATAACCCGCTTATCTCTGTACGCCAGGGATGCTGGGAGATGGGACGTGAAACCACACGTCCGGCCGTCTGTCACCAAGAGGTAAAACACAACCTCCGACATCTTGTTACATTGGACCAGAGTTGTCTCCGTTAAGAATTGGTGGTCACGTACTCCACTCTTATGTTTGACGATTGCACCAAATATCAAATTCCTCCACTCTTCTCCGAATTTCCCATCGTAAAACAGTAAATAAAAATTCACTCTCTTTTTTTTTCGATTTTTCGATGTATTAAAACATATTTTAAATGTTAAAAAAATAATATATACATACAATAAAACCTGCATAAACCGGATTCGCACGGTACCGAATATTTTTTTTCCGGTTTCCGTTTTAAACAGGTTTTTTTTAAACAGAAAAATCGCTCCGTTTCTAAGAATTTTTTCCGTTTAGACAGGTTCCGTCTTGGACAGGTTTTGCTGTAGATTATTAAAACATTTCATCTGATTACAGTCATTTAATTCGATTAAATGAAGTAAGGTTTTGTTGTTAAGAGTTTTAATTGAATTTGTACAATGATCACAAAAACAAACTAAATGGAAAGTATTGCAGTCATTTTCAAACTACCAATTTGATATTTTAGCTTCTTTTTTTTTTTCTTTTTCTAAATAAACATTCTGATGAAATGTTTGAATTTCTAAATTTCCTCCAACCAGATTATTTGAAATATATATTATTAACGTACTTATTATCTATATTTAATTATTATGTCGAGAGAAAATATCATTAAAAGGAACTGGTAAATATGTTGTTATTCTATTAAAGTTTAGCAGTTGTTTTCTATTTTAAAAATTAATCAAAAATTGTTTTACTGATTGGTTTTGGGGCTGTTAAAGTCAGAGTACGGCTTAGTAATTTGTTTTCTATAGAATTTAATACAGTTTATACGGAAATTTTAATTTTATATAGGCCCTTTGTATCTTGTTTAAAACCGGACAACGTAATGCATTCTCTCAATTGCAAATCTATAATTATATAATTACAGTCCAACCTGCGGACAACGGTCGGATAGGGCGGTAAGAAGTGGCCGTTTTTGGGAGGTTCGACTGTTTATATCAAGTATATTTATCTAAATGAATAGATTTTATTCTTAAAATATTTTAAATCTTCATAAATAATTGGAGAATTTCATATGATTTCTTAGGCACGTCACTTTATACAAGTTATATTATCAGTTAATACCCTATAATATATAAAGAGTAGTTAATTTTACGAATAATATAAAAGGATTACATTATAAAATGAATAATAAAAACGAATAAAGCTGTTTATAATATTAAAACTTCGCTAATAAAGTGTGAGATTTGAATAATAAATGGTCATTCCTGTTTTAATATCGGTTGCAAGTTTTATATATTTTAAAGGTGAATAAATCCGATTTTTGACCGATGAAAAGTTTTAAATTAAATTTCTCAAAGTTTATATTCTTACAACGTTCAGTGGAAAATAAATAAATAAATAATAAATTTATTTATGAAATTTTATAAATTATTTAAAGTAATAATGAAAAAATTTGTCTGAATAATATAACAGAGTCTTTAAAAAGTAAAATTTGCATAATT